GTGATAATGTGATATAACTAAATGCAATTATAATATTTGGCAGTTAAAAGTAAGTGGTTTTTTTTAAAAAAAAATTGGAATTTATTATTATGTAGGATTTTGAGCATTTTAAAAAAATTCATAGCAAATTATTATGCTCCGATTTCTATTAAATTTATAACTTCTTGGTTTTTTAGAAGGTAAAATAGGTGTAAAAACAATAATAAATTTTCATTTTTTTTTATTGCTTTTTAAAATAGTATTCTAAAAATCCATTGGACATTTACAAGTTTTAATTTAAATAGGAAAATTCTGATCTCATATCCAAAATAACAAATGATACTCGCACCGCCATTCTTTTCGCCGGGGACTGTAAATGCAAGCATATATAATTCAATATCAAATTGCTTCTAACGCTTATTAAAAATTTCAATGCATTCTTTACGAAATGATATTTGACGTGTTTCAGGTAAATCTTTAATAGCAGCATAAAGCTTAATTATTTCAATAAAACAATCGGCCAAGGTGGTAGATTTGAATTCAAGACATTTTAATGCTTTTTTAATTGGTTCAATAATTGATACCAATTCTTCTAAATCAACATAAAAATGCCGATTAGAAATAATTTTTTTAATATTATTGTTTAACGTATCAGCATCTTGTACTGCAATCTGTTCATTATAATACAATTAAAATTAGTAATAATTAATAAATAATAAAAATAAATAAATTAATTTATTTGATAAAGTAAAATTAGTACTTAATACTTACATTTTTTAAAATGGTTTCACAAGATAAAACAGAATTTGCACAATCAAACGCTGTAGACTAACGTGTTTTCACATATGATTTCAACCCTCCGCCTTTTACCATATTTTCCAATATTTCTGTACGCAAAGTCTCTCCAGCTTTGTGAGAAGTTTTAAAGAATCTGACAATCTTTATGCATTTTTTTAAAAGATTTTCTGCGAAAGGCAATTTACATATATCAGTGGTAATTAAATTAATTTGATGATCAATGCAACGAATTGGCATTATATTTTCATATTTTTCATTAACGAGTTTTTTTGCTTTAACCATAGAAGATGCATTATCAGATACGACCGCAGAAAATTTTTCTGCGCCCACTGATTCAATTACTTCAATTATTTTTTTGGCAATATATTGACTGGTATGCGATTCTTTAGAAAGATTTTGAATTGAATGAATAAATTCTTTTCCACTTTTAGTGAAAATGATGAATGCGTAGAATGATTGTCCTACTGGTGACGTCCAACCATCTAACCCTTTATTATTATATAAAATTAAATATTAAATATTAAGTAATTTTTTTAATATTATTTAAATAATAATTTATATATTAAATATAAATACCCAACGTCAAACAAGTTTCATTTTCAAGTATCCCATTGATTTTTATTTGGATATGTGATATTTCCGAATTAAGCATATTTGCAGACAATTGTTGCCGTGAAGGAAGTGAATATGCTGGGCATAATATCTTAATAAAATCTACGAAAAATGGATGTTGTACTAAATGAAATGGTATTCCGCAACAAACAAATAATTTTATAAGAGCCTGATTGGCCATTTGTACTTTTGAATTAGCTATTTTAAGTGAATCATAATGTTCGTCAATTCGTTGTTGATTATCATAATTGCTCTTTATTTTTTTTGAGGATCTTTCATTATCATTGATTGAATCATTTGAATGACCTAAATTTCCTCGATTTCGAATAATGTTCATGTATTTTTCTTTGATTTGATAATCAACTTTAATACACCGAAGACCAATATGAGTCTCAAGTTCATCCGTTTTTGCATTAGCCTTTTTTTCCCAACCACATACTTTACACTTAGCACCACAATGACCTTGAACTCGTGCGCCAATTTCTATAAAAAGGTCCAAACATCATTTTTCGGTCTTCCCGGCTTCCTCTTTTTAGATATCTCTGCATCATTTGTATCATCTTTATCATCGGTATTTGGCGCTAAAAGTTCTGCTGCTGCTAGGACTCCAAAAAATACATAAAAAGGTCACATTTAAGTTTGCTTAAAAAGAACCTAAATTTTCATGAAAATCTTGCCTTTTTTAGATAGTGCTGGTCTAAATTTTATTGTCCGTTTTGATACTGGTTAGCATTATCATAATTCTGGCCCTGAAAAGTTGCTTATTTTAGGCCAAAATCTTGCCGATCATTTATGACTTCCATATGTATTTTTCGGGGTCCTCTGCTGCTTGTTCAGCTGTCATTTTACCTTTTAAAATGTTTTAAACAGTTATTCACAAAATTTATTCTTTGTATTCTTTGTTCATGAAATATGTATTTATGGTAAGACGAATTTTTATTGGTGTTAATAAATTTCTTAATTTAGATATTAATATTTAACGCCATTTTTGAATTAGTGTAATCAGGTGATTATCGATCAATTATAAAAAAAAACCACACGAAAACAACTGAAACAATACCAAAATAAATAAGAAATAATCTTATACAATAATAATTAGGTTTTATTTAATTTAAGTACCCTTTATTTGCTCAAATATCCTGAAGTACCGATCGCTTACAAAAAAAGAAAACTGAAATAATTGGTAATTGTTTGATTTGTTTCATTAGCCGGATAATACTGATGCTTTGATATTTTATTCACATTACTAATTTGGTCACAAAATTTACCAAGTAAAATTTCAGGTTATTTTTTGAAGGGAATAGGAGGCACTGCTGTACGGTAAAGATCACAAATGCTTGATTGGTCAAAACGGGATGGTTCAATACAATACATTGATGTTTTCTAAAAAGTCGGAATGATGGGATGGGAAGAGTATTTGAAATTGTTGACAGCTTTATAAAGGAAGGAGCAAAGTTTGGAAAGAAATAATAATTCAAATTAAGTTCAAGGATCTATACCGGTAGTGAAAGTATTCTATAATTTATCAAATATATTGATCTCAAATAAATGAATATTTAATTTGGATCTCAGTTATAATATCTTGAAAATCCCTTACCCATCCAAATATCGCGAATACCAGTTGTCTACAAAAAACATGAAATAATTAGTAATCATTTCGTTAATAAAGAAATGAATCAAAAAAAATGAACCTGACTCGCTCAAATATCCCGAATACTGATCGTCTATAAAGACGAAAAAAAGAAACAATTAGTATTAAATTGTTTCGTTAAAGAATATTCAAAGAATCCCCTCATCAATTACCATGAAATCAAGTATCCTGAAGTACCGATTGCCTACAAAAAAAAAATAAAATAAACGAAACAATTAGTAATCATTTTGTTAACAAAAGAAATATAAATTATTTTAAAAAAAAACCCTCACCTAGTCAAGTATCCCGAAATATTGATCGTCTACAAAAAAGAAAATAAACGAAACAATTAATAATCATTTCATTATTAAAGAATTCTTTAAAAAGAACTCACATCCGTTCAAATATCCTTGCCCAAAGACTCGAAAATTCGGCCGTCTAAAAAAAGAAATATCAGAACTTAGTAAATGTTCTGTTAAAATAAATAACTAAGGTAAAATAATAAATACCCTTACCGAAATTTCCATGCGCCTGTTCAGACCGTCTAAAAAATGGAAGGAAACGAATGTTAGTGACCTTCGCTAAAAGAAACAAATTAAATTAAAAAAAAAATACTTACAAAGGAGTTTGAAGAAACCAACTAAAAAAAAAAACGAAACGTCAATAAACGTTTTATTAACGTTTCATTAAAAATTATAAAAAATTCGAAGTTTTACCTTCGAAAACCTATATAACCGGCCTGAAACTTGTATAACAAAATTTTTGAAATTTAAAACAGGTTCTGGGCTTGTTTTAAAAGCCATTTAATCCATAAAATCATTGATAATATTGAAAGCTGTGACAATGGAGATTCGGAAATTTGTTGATAGGAAGGACTGTGATTTTAATCAATAAATAGATTTATAGCAAAAATCAGTTAATTTTCAGATGCTTCCGATTATCGATCATGCAAGTTGACTATCAGTTTACCTGTGTAAGTAAAACTACTATGCAAAATTCGTAATTAATTACATATTTCCGTAATTATTTACGCATTTCCGTAATTATTTACGTATTTCGTAATTAATTACGTATTTCGTAAAATTGGACGAATATTCCGAAATATTTACAGCAATTAAGAAATACGTAATTCCTTATTACGAAATTAATTTCGGCTACAACTATAGCGAAAATGCCAATCAGGCACCAATCGGCCACCAATTAGGTACCAATCAGCTACCTGATTGGTAACCGATTGGTGCCTGATTTTTCACTTTTCGACCTGTGTAGTTTTGTCAAAATTTTACTATAGATTTATTATAGTTTCGGCAGAGTTTTGGCAGTTTCAGCATTTATAATAAGTTTCGGCAGTTTCGCCTTTCTCCAAAGTTTTGCCAGTTTTTTAATATAACTTTAATAAAGTTTTGGCAGAATTTCACTTTTTGGCGAAACGCCATCTTGTCTAAACCTCTAGGTTTCGGCAAGCAACCTTAGCATATATGCACCTAAAAACTGCAGGTGTGCTTGAACGTGACAGGTGCAGCTTATTTTAAATGGCAGATCAACTGGGATGACAGATGCATTTTATTTTAGACAGGTGTGGGCAACTTTTGACTGAAATTTGGAAAATTTTATAGGTTTACACAGATTTTATTAAAACCTTTTCCAAAATAATATAGTATACAAAAAAAAAAACTAAAATAAAATAAAAAAAAAATAACTTGATATTCAATTCCTGTATCAATTTATCTTTTTACCAAATTCATATTGATTTCATTATTTTCTTGAATTTTTGTTTTTCAAGACTATTTAATAAATTTTGAATATTATTCATTAGTTGCAGCAGGACCCAGAATTATGATAATGTCAGTCGGTTACTATAATAGGAAATAAAATTCTGACTGGAATTATCAAAACTTATCTAAAAAGGAAAGATTTTCATGATTTTTTTAGTTCAAAATATGCAAACTCAAACCTGACCCTTTTATATATATTTCTGGGTCCTGTTGCACATGTTCTAGGACATTTCACGTTTAATAAAGTACGCCAAAAGAACCTGCTGGTATAATCATCAAAAAACAATTTTTTTATTGTTTGAAGCAAAATTTGCCGATTCTATCAACACAAGGGATCCTTCCAATATCTGATGTTCGAATTCCTGATCCAAAAACGGAAGCATTCATTAAAAAAGTTCTGATTGTTAGAACACTGTGGGCCTTTTTTCAAAAAAGCGAAGAATACAAGACTTATAGAAGTATTATCTTTTCAAGATGTTTTACGTGAATTAAGAAATCGATCGTTATCTGAAAAAACTGAAATAATTGCACTTTTGAAGTGGTGCATATCTTATAGGTCAGAGGGTAATACGAAATAAGTTGTTTCTTTATAAAGTATCCTTGAAAATAGAGTACTTATACATTGATGTTACAAAAGTTAATTACATGTAGGAAATGATAATTTATTATGTTAAAATGAATAAATAATATAATTTAGTTATTAATACATAAATAAATAATGACCAGTCTTATTGTTAAATTGCATTTTTTATGATTCCGATTTATCTATTATTTTTCCCACTGTTTCATTCATTGTGGCTATCTTTTTTTCATTTCTTTTATTTTTTTTGATATTTCACTCAAAATTTTCTCCCCATTTTCGAGCTTATCATTAATCACTTCAAGCTTGTTAACAACCTCCTCAAGCTTACTTTTGGCTATTTTGAACTCATAATCATCCTCCCATGGAATCAGAATTTTTTCTTTTTCAAGCTTAGTAGCCCACTCATCAACATCTTCAGCGGAGGCTCTATAAATAACCGTAGTAGGTGAAGGACTGTAGGCAGATTGATTAATAACTTCTGATATTAATGATACCATTAAATTGAAAGTGTATAAGTAAGTGCATTCATTCGTACATACATTCTAAACATTGGCATGATCTTGTCACACAGTTCAAATTCTGCCATTAATTCCACCAACTCCATAACCCATATTGTGTGCGCTTTCTTACATGTTATTTTGTAACTATCGCTTATAATCGCGACTATTAACGAAAAAAAATGTTAGATGTTGTTAAAAACAATGAAAGAAAATTTTTATTACATACTTAAAATATTAAACAGTACGATTGCTGTGCTTAATGAGAAAACAATCATGAAGATATCTAGCAGGTAATTATTTGTCCATGGTTCCAGAGAACTATAATTATTTAGAAGCATTGACCAGCTATTTTTAAGTGATTGATAAAAGCCCGTAAATGTATTGGCTCCATTATCAGTTAAGGTATCTGACAAGAGAACCATTAATGAATGAGCAGAGGCAAATAGCACAAATATTAAAAATACAAGAAACCATCTAATCTTCTTAAGGATATATGCGAAAACTTTGCATTGTAAGAAAAGATCAGTAAATTTGTCAATTTGTAGGACAGTAACCATTATAAATTAATTTTATGATGTGTGGTTACTACATTGAGAAAATGTTTCATGCCTTTATAGTAAGATTCATTTCGCAAAAATTCTTCGGTATATTCATAAAAATTCAAAAAAATTCGTTATAAAAAATAATTCTTCGGTATAATCATAAAAAAATCAGAAAAAATCCGTTATAAAAAAAATCCGTTATAAAAAGGATCATTTTATATAAGCATGTTCACACACTTTATTTCGTTAAACGTTGTACGAAATTTAATTAGTAAGGTTCGGTTTGACAAGGTTTTTTTCATATGTCAAAATCTGTACCACGCTAAAGATCCGCTATATCGTGTTATTCGTTATATCAAAATTCGCTATAAAAAGGGCAGACTGTATATCAAGCATAAACAACAATATTATAATATTACACAGGCATGCAGTCCGAAATAGATTCATTGAGACAGCGCATTACCGAGCTTGAGGCTGAGAAAGCTGAACTCGAGGCTAAGAATTCTGAGCTTCTAAAGCGGGTTATAGAAGAGACCGCCAAATACAAAGCTGAGAATGTTGAGCTCAAGGCTAGAATCGAGGAGCTAGAGAAAAATAAGATGGAAACTGCTGAGCTTAGAGATAGATTTACGATAGTAGAGCAGAGACAGATGCTAAATGAGTCGGTCCCTCTGGGACTTCCAAAAGGAAATAATTCTTCTGATAAAGATTCATCTAATTTCAATTTCTCATCCACGAGCGTGATTGAGGAGAAGTCGTCGGAGGAGAAAGATATAGATAAATTCTTGGATGATGCACATAAGAAAAGTGTTGCTGATAATATTAGGCGATGCAATAAGGAGAAAAAATTCAGCGTGAGACGGGTATCCAAGATGTAGCGCCTGACCCTGCATGTACTTCCTCGGAATCACCTCGTGAAATAGAAGATCATACTCAAAATGCCATTGCGATAGATTCGAAAGTATCATGTGATATAAAAACTATTAGCGATCAAGATAAATCGGGGTCGCAGTTTACTACAGGTAAACACCTATTATCCCAGATTGATTCCGTTAAAGATAAGACGGAATCGTCTATGAAACAATCATCACAAAACTTGGCTTCCTCAAGTATAGTAACCGAATTCGCACAAAGTTTGTTGGAAGAACTACTCTCGTCCGACAGTCAACTTCAGGAACCTATAAAGTTTTCTCCTAATTCCTGGATCGATAAGTATTAAGAGACTTGCCGATTTATTCTGCCAATCGGTTGTTACAAGAAAAAAAACTATCATAGCAAAGCGAACGGAGATTTCATCTTGGGGTCGCTTCTCCGAAAGGTTCGAAGATAAGGTCGAGGAGCTCTGGTTAGAAAATAAGAAACTTACAGATCAGACCGCAAGAAAGCAGATCTATAACGAAATGAAGCCGTACCTTACTGGCAATTCCGTCCGATGGGTATTTACGTGTAATGACCTGTAAGGCAAGAAAAGTTAATAAGTTATTTGGATATGAATATGATCCTGTAACTCTGAAAAAGATTAAAGGTATAGGGCGGCATATGGCTCAGCGGGTCACTTGCAGTGCTGATAGTATTTCAAGGTTCACTAATCCCCAAATCGATTATATTATAGAACAAGTCAATTCGAAGACAATCACTGATCAGAGTAGTGTAGACGAAATCTTCGAGACCGTAGCTACTACTTCAATTCATGACTCAGATGATAATTTTAGTAACACCTCGGATGATACAGTTTATTTTAAAGAAGGGACGAATGAATCGATTGAAGAGGTCTCTAAAAAGTCTGAAGTAAATGCATCAACTAAGCCCACACCAGCTAAGGTAAATACCCTTTGCTTCAACGCCTTCGGCCAGGACCAGATAATACGCACGATGGCGACTCCAATTCATGTAATGATGACTCTTGATCCCGATAGTAATTCTGGAGATGAGAACGCGATAGAGGATATTACTATCGTGACGGAAGATACGAAAGGAGAGGGTCCCCAATGATGAGTCCTATTATAACCGCCTAGGGAATTATCGCATACTTTAGTACCGGACTATCCTATAAGTTTTTTTTCGAGTCCCGTGGGTGGCTTAGATATCGTGCACAGTAAAACGTCATTTATTCTTCTCCGCAGTAATACACTGCTATGCAATTCGTGTATAATCAAAATATTTCACGATGATTCAAATTTTTAGATATTGGTCAGAAAATAATTACAGATTAACCGATGTTACATACTTCGGAGTACTGATTTATAAAACGCGTTATCAATTAATAATCAGTGAAGTTTAATAGTTTAATACAACGCGTTCACATAATTACATAATTAATGAAGCTTATTATTCCAAATCAATAAAGTCAATAAATTTATAAACCTCTCCATAAAAATCGTATTTCATTCTATCTTAATTCCTCTAAATCAAAACGACAATATGTCCAATATTTACGAAATAATAGATAGTCTTAATCTCGGAGAAGCTGAAACTCACAAGATACAAATTAACCTAATTAATAATCCCGAAAAAGAAGAAAGGTTACTTTTTGCCCTCACAAACAAAAACAATGATGCTAAAACGAGATTTTTAGAGAGTTTCCTTGAAACTATACCTGGTATGTTAGATAAAATATCTGCCGTTATACGCAATGTCTAACCTTTTTTTTGTTCTTTATCACATGCCGTGGATTTAGATGAACATCAAGGTAAGCCTTTGCGTCGTAATGATTGGTCAACTCGAACGTGACGCGCTAACCTTGATAGGCGTCAATCTTCTTTTTTCTTTCCTGCGTTGATATCCTTAAACAAAATTTTTTCTTGTAGTCTTAAAACGGTCCCTAGAAGAAATAACCGAGGTCAAGAAGAAGGTTCGACTTCTCGAGAATGAGCTTTACAAAACTAAGTTTACTGTCACAGTTACGCATGAAGTTGGAAAGAATGTCTTAAATACTGCAAGCCCTACCCTTAACGAAATCTTCTCTTTTTTGAAAAGCGAAACACCAATATCACTCGATAGTTTAGATACAACGAGTTTACCGCAGTATTGTAAGAACGAAGATGAAGTGCAGAAAAAATTCATAAAGTTCTTCAACTCTTTAAAGGGACGAATTAAATGCAATATCATTGATACGTCAACTTCAAACTGGCTAAAGGACCCTATTGGAAAGATTGATATTTCTATCATTGATGGATCACAAGTTTTGTGGGCTCATCTTATATCTGGAATCGAGATCAAACAATCGCTAAAAAACACTACCTTATATCACGAGGCAATCGGACAGCTCGTAGACCGTTTTCAAACCGTTTTCCGAATGCAACGTGGACGACGCTTTATTATCGGCGCTGTTTGTTGTGATAACCTTATAGAGTTCATATACGCTAATTCCGAACTTAAACTTAAACGTTCGGGCTTATTGGAACTCAGTTTTACCAAACAGACAACAGGAATGCAAATGCTACTAAACATGTTGAGTTCGAATCAACATCAGCTCGGCTACTCTCCACCCAAAGATCATGAAGCGTTGGTCGGTACTTCAGGCTTTACCTATGAAAACGTTCTTCGACAAGCAGATAACGGACGAGGATCACTTGTTTTCTCCGGCTTTATAAATTCAAAAAAAGCCGTTCTTAAGGCCTCTATGGATCTCAATAATGAGCTGAAGATGCTTGAGATTCTTAAAGACTGCGAGTACATTCCCCAAGTCATTAACAAAGGATTACTTTCAGATGGCAGAATGTATGTTCTGATTTTCATGTGAAATCATCAAAAGTATTTTAATTGATCATTTTCATGTAGGTTCATTGTGACGACACCGGCTGGTGTACATCTCGAAGCCAAAAAGCACGGTGTGAAAGGGACTTTAAAGGCTTTGCGGGATGTTATGAAAGCTTTAAAGTTTTCTCATGAACATCACATTTATCATCGTGATGTTTCATATTTAAATATCGTATACAAAAATCAAAGAGGCTATCTTATCGATTGGGGTGTAGCATCGAATACTTCTGACTTAGTTAATGCTCCATTGACCGGAACTTATCTATTTTCTTCTCTTCCGGTATGTTTATCCACTTATTATTTGTGCAATAATATATGTAATTTCATACCATTTCAAATTTAGGTTTTGAACTGTTTTGAATCTGGAGTTCCTCACACATATTCGGTTAATGATGAAATCGAATCCTTGTTCTATGTATTCATGTACATAGCTTGTGATGGAATCGTGCGCTGGCGAAAGCATTCGGATTTGTCAACAAGTGTCGCAATAAAATATAATGTGATGATCTGCCCGTTTGAATTTGGAAGGCACTTGGTCAAGTATGCTTATGGTGAATTTCACGAATATTTATTAAAATTTCGCGACATTATTTTTCCATATGGTAGTGATCTTGAAAAAAGAAACATATCGATTGAAGAAATTATTGAAATTTTCGGAGATTGGATAAATGAACTTGAATAGATATTATTTGTAATATTATTATTAATGTCTTTGTAGTGAAAATATATGTAATAATTAATACTGTATATGTAAATAAAAACACATCCAACTTCCGCTATATTAAAATATTAAATCATTAGCATAACTACTAATAAATAAATACATGAATTTTATTACAGATTATTCAGTAATGACAGTCTATATTCGTGACGTGCTAGATCAGTTTGTGCGACATATTAATTACTCATAATCGAAAAGAACTTCTATTTTTTCAAAAGAACCAAAGTATAGATTGTGCTACATTTGAAAACGATCTTTCCCAAAGTAAAAATGAAAACACTTAAAATCTTAAACATTTAAAAGATAGCAAATTGAATCAAATCGTAAAGGTAATTATTATTATCAGTTATAATTAATTAATTTAGCTACAAGATCTAATAAAAAATCTGAAACCAAAAATACTTATAAAAGAAAAGCTGCTTCTAAAGAAAAAAGAATCCATCATGATCAAGTTGCAAGTGAAGCAATAGTGGGAATGGTATCTAATGAAGTGCAGGTCGAAAATTTGGAAAGTTTGTCCACAAATCCAACCAATAAATGAATCTCTATCAAATATTGAACTAGAAGAAAGAAAATTTATTAGAACGTCAAATTAAGCTTAGAAGAGAGACAGCAGAAGCAGTGGCCATTGAATTGAAAAATCAGCAACTAAAAATGAGCTTGGGTTTGACCTTATAATACTAATTTGTGATTTAGGTTTGACTTCGTTAATTTGTGATTTGTAAATGTTAATTTGTACTATATTTTTTTGTAATTTGTAATTTGCTAATAATGCATCACATTCTACCAAAAATTATATTTTGTAATTTGTAAATGCTAATGCTAAATATAATTGTATTAATTTATATATAAAATAAAGTATAATAAAGAATTTGTAGTAATTATTAAATAAATCAATAAAAAATTTGGTTTTATTTTTAACAAGTCAATTTTATTATTATAGAATATTATTAAAGAAATAGAAATTTATAAGCTTATCTTCAAAGGATATAATTGATATATTTATATTTTTTAATATATTAAAAAACAAACATGTATGAAAATTTGAAAATTTTTAAAGCATTCGTACGTACTAATATTAATGTCCGTCTAAATTTGTATTACTATACAGTACTACTTTACTTAATATCTATTTATGATGATTGATTGTGAAGGTGAAACAACCTGTAGATTATTACAAGATAGTAAACTTAGTGAAATTACTGAACAAACTGGAGATTCTTGTGGTGGATCTTATATCAACCAAAAATTTCTTAGTTGTAAACTTAGTGAATCAACTATAAATCTGCTTAAAAAAAATAATTATAGTCAATTGCAATACATGGTATAACAATTTTGTTAAAATCAAAATTTCATTTCACTGAAGATAGGAATAATTTTAATTCTTTTGAATTTGATATTAAAGAAATTTGTTCCATTTAAAACAATATAATTAAAGAAAAAATGGAAGATAATTGTGACATTTATATATTGTATATGATAATACAGATAAAGATGTTAGCTGTAACTGTAATATTAAGACACAGTGTCGTATGTAATAGGTTGCAACTAAAGCTCTGAACAGTTCGGGCTAAACCGGGAAACCGATCTGAAACTGGCTCAAAATTCGGTTTGGTTCAGTTCAGGTATTAGAACCGAAAAACTGGCGGTTCAATTCGGTTTAATCCGATTTTTTATAAAAATGCAAAAAATCGAATAGCCAGTCATCTAGTGATCGTACAAAGTCGAGCCATATATCATTGGATTTGTCTCGACGAGACGTGTCGAATGGCGGTAAGATTATGTCTCTAGCATCGATAGATCACACGTTAACCCACGCTAAATGATTTATAAATAATTGGAATTAGCAAGCTATCTATCAGTACTAGAGACATGATCTTAGCACCATTTGACGTGTCTCAGTGAGATGAATCCAATGAATATGAATTCGTTTATGTACGACCACTGGATGGCAAATAATATCAAGTTTCGCATTTTTTTAAAATTTTTGAGCGTTAAAAATTAAAAATTCCGATACATGAATTTATTCATCATCCAATAGTTGTACAAATATGAAATAGGACTCATTAGATTTGTCTCAATAAGATGAGTCGAATGGTGGTCTCTAGCATTGATAGATAGCTTGCTAATGCCAATTTTTTATAAATCATTTAGCGTGAATTAATTTACGATCCATTGATACTCGAGATATGATCTCACCACCATTCAACTCATCTCATTGAGACAAATCCAATGAGTCCTATTTCATATTTGTACAACCATTGGATGACGAATAAATTCATGTATCGGAATTTTTAATTTTTAATGCTCGAAAATTTTAAAAAAATGCGAAACTTGATATTATTTGCCATCTAGTGGTCGTACATGAACGAATTAATATTCATTGGATTCATCTCACTGAGACGCGTCAAATGGTGCTAAGATCATGTCTCTAGCACTGATAGATAGCTTGCTAATTCCAATTATTTATAAATCATTTAGCGTGGGTTAACGTGTGATTTATCGATGCTAGAGACATGATCTTACCGCCATTCGACGCGTCTCATCAAGACGAATCCAATGATATATGGCTCGACTTTGTATGATCACTAGATGGCCGGCTATTCGATTTTTCGCATTTTTATAAAAATCGGATTAACCTGAACTGACCCGCCAGTTTTTCAGTTCGGTTCTTACAGATTTTGGCTCTAATCCGAACCATCTATAATCCGGACCAAACCGACCCATTCAGAGCTTTAGTTGCAACCTATTTACATTAAAAAGCCAAAGTTGTAATGCTGTAATTAGGTTGTAATACTGTAATTAGATCTTAATACCGTAACTAATCAGTAATGCTGTAATTTCGAAATTAAGTATTTAATTTCAGCCAGAATTATGCACTTAATTTTAGCAGAAATTAACAAATATCCTAAAAAGGAAAGTCATGTTACACAAAATTCCAGTGCCGTTCCCCACCAAAATCAATTTTTGTGGAATGGCTATTGCCAAAAAAGGGGTCATCTAAAGCCGTGTTCAATCATGTGACTTGACATTTTATAAATAAGCTATTTTTTTATGAACTAAGATTAATGTAAGTATAAAAGTTATAGAATAAGTGTATTTTGGCCTGCTTTACAAGTTTACTTAGTGAAAAAAAGCTGGTTTTAAACACTGTTTTTGACTTTACATATGAATGAATAATCTTTACCAATCATATCTAAAAATAAATGATGAAAATGAAAAAATTCAAATAAGTCAAAAACGGTGTTCAAAACCCCATGTTGCGCACTAAGTAAACTTATACAGCAGGCTAAAATACATATATTATGTGTAATTTAAAAGTTTTATATATTGTTGAAAAAGTTTTATTTGTAAAAATAAATTTTTACAAGTCACGTGATCGAATACAGTGCACACAACCTAGTCCCAACAAAAAAATTTTTAAGCGGCCAAATTTTTTACATTATATAATACTAATCCTATAATTTTATTGGTCAAATTTATTTAATTTAAATTATAATTCTTAATTCTAGCCAAATTTACATAGTTAATAATTAAATGAAAGTAATTTTGGCCAGACTTACATGTAATTCTGGTCAGAATAAAATGGCCAAATATTTAATTTAATAGTAAAATATTTCAACTTTGAATTGCTACTACTTTATTAAAAAATACTTTAAAGAAAATTTAAAAACATAGTTTAATTAAACTAAATCTGATTTATCATTATAAGTTTATACTTTATGTTTATCTTTTTTTTTGAATGAATAGTAGTGATTTAAATTTCATCAAATTTAATTGCTGGGACTAAGTTGTATGCACTGTACAACTTTAGACGACCTCCAAAAAAGGAATAAACTGCATTTCCATTTTGGCTGAAATTATGATTTTTGGCTGAAATTCTATATTTAAGTGAATTATGTTAATTTCAGCCAGAATTATATTTTGGATTTTGAATTTCAGATTTTAGGAAATATGTGACTGTAATTTCAATTTTAAGGGGTAAATAATATCAAAAAAAATAATAATAAATTTTTTTTTTTGTAAAAAAGTTTATATGTAAATTATGCATAAAATCATCTAATTATTAAAGATATTATGCTAATTTAATATAAATTTTTTGAAAAAAACTCAAGGGTATTATGTATTACATGAGATTTTATATTTATCAATATGGCAAATTTATATAGCAAATTAGCAATAGTAAACCAAATTTCTGTACAATATAGATTTCTGTAATATTTAACATAAAAGGATAAGATTTATATGGTTAGAAAGCCACGCTCCTGAATTTTATTTGCCAACTTTAAAAGATTTATTTTTTTTAAAAAGTCTTTAAAATCTTCATATGAAGTTACAAATAGGAATATATGTTTTTGCGAATAGGCAAACTTAAATTTTATTGGGTATTGGTATCATGATTAGTTATTTATAACATATGATATATATAAGATGTAAACAAAAACAATTTGCCAAATGATATATATAAAAAAATCACATGATACGTAATACCCTTAAAATTTCCCACCTTTCATCCACAACCACCCTCCCCTAGAGATTTTAGTTCATTATATAATTTTTTTCTTTACACGAACGCGTATACAAAATGCAAAAAAAATGTGACGTGTCTTATGTACCCCTAAAAATTAAAATTACACAATATATAAACTATTGTAATTTACTTTTATAATTCATTACTTTTATTTTAAATTTTTATGCCATTAAAAATTAGTCTATTAGCATATCTGTAACCTTCGAAAATCAACTTCTGGAATAGCTTTCCATTCAGACTGATTTATCAACCAGTTAATAAATTAAGTACTATTCTATGTATGTCTGATTCTTGCATATAGATTGTTAAAATTAGCATTTATGAAATGATTAATACTTATGAAAATGGTATATTTAATTACTCATTTCCTCCCATATTCTTCTTTTTATAATATATGTATGCTCTTTCCTTACCTTGTCCGTATTGGACACAAAGCCAAACGCTTGATTTAGTGCCTCGTCTACATCCTTTATATGGTTGTAGGATTATTACGCCCTTTCATATTTTGAATGCGTGAGATGCACAATATTGATCCTGTGCTGATTTTTCACAGAAATAGGTCTTTCCAACCAACAACCAATTACAAGACATTTCTTTCCTCTGTCTATTATTCATACTCATTTTCATATTTAAAATATATCGTCGCCTCAAAAGAAAGAGACAACAAATAAGTTTATCATATGATGCCTATTTGTATGATGGTCGTTTACTTTAGTAAACCCTTATTAATAAAATTTTTCTTGGCAATTTTCCGTGACAGCCCGTCACTCAAATTTTTTAGCAGAATTAAATATATACTAACAAACTTTTAAATATTACATATCTTCTATAAAAGTATTATCAATCATGTTGTCAAACCTTGAATTATTGGAACAATGCATTGCCAACCTTGAAGCTAAAAAAGACGAGCTTAAGGGCGAGAATACTGAGCTTAAGAATGAGAATGCGAAATTGAAATGGATTATTGAGAAGAATGTCAGGCGTGATGCTGAGAATGCCAAACACAAGGTTAGAATCAAAGAATTGGAGAAAAATAGTGCGATATTTCAGCTGAAAATGCTAAGCTTAAAGCCGAATTAGCCAAATTAAGATATGATTTCGATTCTTCCAATCTCATGAGGCCTCAGCAACCCCAGCATGTTACTAATGTGCAGAACTCATGCTCTGTTGAACAATATATATCTTTAGCTAAGCCCGAGAGACGCTTCACTTTGAATAATATACCTGATCTTGTAATAGACCAGCGTGTAGCTGATAACGTGGACATCGAGTTAATGGACACTTTCTTAGATGAGACATTTAAGAAAAGCATTAGTGATGGGTTTAGGCAGAAGAATAGGAAAAAGAAATTGTTACATGAATCAGCTACCCAGGACTTATCTGGCGGGTGTTTCAAATGAAACCACCTCTTCTGTAATAAAGGACAAAAAATCTCAATCACATAAGAAGAGGAAAGCAGAGAATATTGTACAAGATGTGTTTGATTTTACAGCCACTTCGGTACCTGAGAAAAATCATATGACTGAAATTTCTATGACGGCCCGTTACGAAAAATCTGATATAAATAATCCCTCAAATATATTACAAAATCTAGCCTGCTTAATCCAAAAAGCATGGGATGTGAAAGATGAAGCAATTCTAGCTAACCAAAAAGAATTATTATGTTGGTGTTCCTATATTGTAGAATTCAATAAAAAGATCACAAAGTTTATGACTAAGTATAAAATTGGTGAGAAGAAAGTGAAAGGTATGATTTATGACAATCTTATTAAACTCCTTCGTCCTGGTACTAAACGTAATACATTACTAAAACAAACTCAGAAAGCAAGAGACATATACAAATTATTTGAGAAAATAGGAATTGATAAAATTAAGTATATCACAACGTATAGTGTGAATTCTATATCGGAATTATCTGATAGTCAAATTCAAACTATTGTTGATTATTTCTTCAAGAATCTAAACACTGAATTACCAGATGATTGGAATGGCACTATTATCAATTTCGAAGAGGATATTTTGATTGATCAGGATAATGTATTAGAGGAGCAAGCAAAACCCTTAGTTTTAGCAGCGCAGGCTGAGGTAAACATTCCAACTGCATCTATTCCATTAACTCATATCTCCAATTCTTCAGGTGATTCCTCCAGCTCGAAAAAATTGGATGCCAAGATAAAGGTGGTGCACCTATTCCTCAACCCGAAACTCTAGTCCATGACCGCTTCTATTTTCACAACAAGACATTGGATCAATATCCTAATTTATATAGAGAATTTAGTAGTGAAGATTTTGATTGTTATGGAATTAATGATGAGACATTATGCCCATTATGCAAGTTAGATTATGATGATGAGGAAGGTATAAATGGTATGTATAAATCTGGATCTTACTTTATTAAATGTGAATAACGTAAAATTGAGATAACTGCATAGTCTCATTACCCCTCCCCTTGTGGGCAGTGTTGGACTATGACCTAAAATGACCACTATGACCTATATGACTAGTCATAGGTCATTTGGTCATTTTGAATTTGTAAGATCATATGACTATAGTTATAAATTATTAACCAATTAAATCATGGTATTTATATAATAAAATTGGTTAAATCTGCCAGAAATTATCTATAAACTTATAATTATAAGATAGTTATATAGATCATGTGATCATTAACCAATGACATTATAATTATATAACTATGACCAATAGGTATATGACCACCGGTCATAAGTAGGACCAGAAAAACTATATATAAAGGTCACCGGAAAAAAATCAGAAAATCATATGAATGCGAACCATCTTATGATTGGTCAATTGGCTATTTATTCACATGTTTCCGCTCCAAAAACAGAAAAAGGAAAGATCTTCACTCAAATTTTCTTATTCTTGCGAACCAACACGTGACTTTTATTAATTATTTTTACAGTGACCTTTTTGAAAATTAAATATGGGTTTGAACCAAGAAAACCGGTAACCTTTATTAGTAGTTTTTCCGATCCTTCATAAGTACATATGATCACAGTCATTTAAAAATTTCAATATGACCTGGTCATTATCCATCACTGCTTGTGGAAGATGATCTAACTATTTTTTGGAAATATGATAAGAGATATTAGACAGCTTACTATTTGGGAATTTTAATCTTTTTTTGAACTAAAGAGAAAGAGAAAAAAGGGATTTAAATTGACTCGCAATCATATAAAATTAAGATATGTCTAAGACTGATAAAATACTAACCTCCAAATATCTGGATTGGCATGCCAAATTAAGTGGGTTACCAAGTGTTTTGACGGATAAGATCTGGTCTAATTTATACAAAAAATATAAAAAAGAAACTGGGCATGAGCCATGGCAATTATCAGAAGATCGCCTTCTCATAAATTCGAAGCCAGAAAATAAAGTATCCTATTTATCTTCTTCTGAGCAATGTGAAGAAAAAGGGTCTATTACTTTTGAAGCCAAACTTGATCCAGAATTAATTATCAAATCCGTCTTAGAGTACTTCCCATACTTGAAATTCGGAAATAATTTCAGAGGGATTGATAATTATGATTTTACATCACTTCAGCCGTAGAGCTCACCATGTCCTATTTGCAATAGAAAACATAGGGATTATGGGTTACATGGCTCATAGTACTGCGAAAATAGGAATCGGCTCCCTTATAATCCTGAATTAGCGAAGTTTTATTCTCAAGATAAGTTGGAATATTGTCTTACCTGCAACACTTCAAGCAATAAATTCAAGTTCGCAATCATAGCATAGAGCTAATTTTGCATTTGTATTTCTTTTTTTCATCACTCATACCATTCATTCTTATCACCTCGGCACGATTTAGTTTCTAGTACTTTTTAGAAGTCTGTTTGCGTAAACTGATCAAATGATGAGTCATCGATCTGTACGACATTAATCTCTTATATAGACTGTTCACGATAATCAATTTTCTTACATAGCCATTTATACTACAATTTTTTCCAAGTATAAAAACGAACTGTCATGACTTCTGTAACACTAAACTTCTTAGTTGTTGGAGAAGATCCTTATGAAAAAACTTTACCGGTCGATATTGATATTAATAAGAATATTGGTGCCCTTAAAAAAACTATTAAGAATGATATTGGTGAAAGCGTATCAGTGAGAGATCTTAAATTGTTTAGAGTCGATATCCCCCTTGGAAGTACCAGAGACGAGGATGTCATTGCGAGGCTTAAAACTGGTGAATTTAGTGTTAGTCTGGAAATGAATAACAACTTACAAAAAATTAGTGATCATTTTAGTACACAACCAGCTAACACAAACCTACACATTCTAGTGCAACTTCCTATTGTTGCCATTGGTGAGTCAAAAATTTAGTCAACGTGATATAGCTCAATTTTTTCGCCTTTTCTTGCCCACACCATGTTATATTCACCAATAATACTAAGTACTTACTTATTCTTATGCTTTTCTTTCCTGCTTCTTATCGTCAAACCCGCCTAAAAACATATTCGCGGCAACCAGGTGCTAGTGGTAAGTGAGTCATAACAACGCAAGTGGTCTTTGCCTGAACTTAGACTGAACTTATACTGCTATTTTGTCTTTAATATTGCTAGTTTCTATGGGATCTTCTTCTAAGCGAAATTACGAGGAAGGTTAGCATTAGCTTGTTTCTGCAGAGTTTGTTGTCTTAACTAATATTTTTTAATCTCTAATAGAGCAGAATATAAACGTGAAGAAAATTCGACATTATCCTTCCCTATCATCTTTCGCTCAAATCGATAATTTATATAAATCTCAACAAAAAAATACTCAGGATATTCTCATTCATCGCCCTTCTAGTTATGTCAGCATGCCATTGATATTATATGACCCTGTTTTTTTTAAGTTCAAGTCAGATTTTAACAATGAAGGTTTAATTATCGATAAAGAACATAATCAATGGACCCTAGAATGTATTAATACTATGGCAAAATTCTATCTGAATGAGAAATTACGTCAGAAAGAGTTTCATGAATTAATTTGTAAATTACTTGCCAAAGATGTAAAGGTACTTGTGCTTGATGATAAAAGTTCAAATGATGGAACCTTGGAATTAGATTTTCATTCATATAGTATATTATACCTCCTCATTAAGATAAAAAATGAAATTGGGACTGGTAAATGTGATCCAACTACCCAGGCGGCTGCTTCCTATGCAAAGTTTTATACCCAAGAAAAGAATCAAAAATTGCTCAAAGTGTGTAATTTGCCATGCTTCATTATAGGCTTAGCTGGACCTTGGATTTGTATATTAGGAGCTGTTTATGTTGAGAAACCACTTGTTGAACCTCTAACAAGCTTTGAACCTCTCATCTTTACTAATGATCGAATTCATTTGAATAAAATTGCGCGACTCTTTAAAGCCTTGAGTTTGGGATGTGAAAGACTGAAGAAATATTATAACGCACTGCCATCTTTCGTATTGAATACTGTAGATCATCAACGGTTTTTTCCTTTCATTCGCAAATTCCATGAAATTAACTTCGATTACAAAGAAAAACTTTTTGATAATCCACACAAGCTTCTTTGGAAGGCTGAAACACAAGGTGAAGATCGTCTCACAATTGTTATTAAGTTTACACATAGTTACAACAAGAAAGCACACGAATTGTGTCATAGTATTGGAAAAGCACCAAGACTGCTATGTGTATCATCGGCTCACACGATGCATATGATAATTATGGAATATGTTGATGGCCAAAAACTATGTGATTGTTGTGATTTGAAAGGCTCTGAATATAAAAGAATTATCAAAGACATTGAAGAAGCTGTAGATCTTCTACACAAGAATGGTATTGTTTTTGCTGATCTTCGTGATTCTAACATCTTGGTTATCAAAAATGAAGATGAGTACCATGGAATGTTGGTAGATTTTGACTGGGCTGGTGAGGATAATAAGGATCTCTATCCAGCTTTTATGAATGCAGATATTAACTGGCCAACTGGAGCTGAAGATAATAAGGTATTAAAGAAGGAACACGATATATATTGGTTAGATGTGTTGAAAAGAAAGTACTTGAATGAAGTCAAAGAAATGCCCACTACCGAAGTCAAAAAAATACTCATTACCGAAGTCAAAGAAATGTCCACCTGCTACTGAGAAGTATTGTAATGAAGAGTTAGCCGCAGAGATTGAATGATGATGTTCTAATCTAAGGCAATGAATCTATTAGAAAGTATTTTCTTTTTTTCATGACAAAAAATTTACTACACTGTATATCAAAATAATTATATGTCAAAAATCAGCATGTTTACATATTAATAAGTGTTTAACTATAGTTTATATACCAATCAATTAATGAAATGTGTACCATGTGAACATGATACTAATATAATATATAATATAATTAAGATACAAACCAGTGATTCACTAAAAATCGACTATTTTGAGTTTTGATATATAGATTTGAACAATGATTGTATGTGCAACGGCCATAAAACAGTATATCATGTATTTATGCATAAACTTAATAATCTGTATAACTTATTCATAATTTATTTTTTTGCGAAATGAATAGCTATATAATCTGCATGCATGATCGTTTAGTAAAATTGGTTGAAAGCGCTATGCATGAAATGTATCACCTGCCAAATTTTTCAGATCAACTGTGCCAGAAGATTAGCAAAATAAAGGCATAGGTATAGGGGATAGAAAAAGCCCTTGCTGTTATGAAATTATCGGAATAGTAAAATTAGCCAATCATCCTATGATCTAGAAATCACTTAACGCTATGAAAGTGCGCAGGGATTTAGGAAGATCACATGTAATACAAAATTTATAATTTAGCCATCCATGGTGATCGGATCTAATTTAATTGAATCAAATCACCCAAACAATCAAATAAAAATGAATACGATATTTTATTATAATATACTTGCTATAAATTGCTATATAAGTCTTTAAAATCGCTATAAACGCTATAAATCACTATAATTTGCTATAATTTCACTATACCTGCAAAATGGTTAAAACTAGCTTCTATTCTGGTTTAAATCCTGTAGTGGTGCAAACGCTAAACAATCTGCAATATAGGTATAGTGGTAAAACACCAGAAATGTAGTGTTCTCGTGTTTATTATCCATTTAAGAAACTTCTTGAATATAACCCAAAATACTTCTCCAAGAATAGATTTATTCAAATGATTGAAAGATCATATAAAGATGGGGAATTTAAAGCTGGGAGATGTTCATTTAATATTTATTGCACTGTATGTGACTCCTCAGTAATTATTCGTGAAAATACCATCAAATGTGGCAATGATCATCTGAAGAAATGTATTGCTAAAACAGTCAAAAGGCATATTGCATATTCTAATTCTATACAGAAAATATGAAAAAAAGAGTATCATCAGAACTAAGTGATGATAAGATTGAAAAGATTTATCAAACATTTGGTTTTATATTCAGTAAATGCTGGGCTAAATTTAGTTATGCATATAAATATAAAAATAGGAAAAGATATGTCAATCGTTTAATTGATAGTGCAAAAGTTATCCAACGGACTTGTAGAGCTTTCAAGTTGAGACCTGAAACATGGGCAAAACAAGTTTGGAATATGGTGAGGAATGATGGTACTCCTGACAAGAAGAAGTTTCTATCTCCTCGTGGTAAAAGAGATATTTATGATCCATATGTATGGTATATTGATCGAAAAATTCTAGCTAAAGATTTACCTGAATTTTTTCTGAATAATCTATATCATGATGGTCATGTTCCACATGAGTGGGTAGAAAAGAAGAGTGATCAGTTACATAATCGATTAGGTAATATAGCATATATAGTTGCTTTTATAGTATTACATCAGCAAAACTATAGAATCATTACATATGATGGTGATTGGTCTTATATGTTAAAGTGGCTATCGAATCCTAAATATTACCGTATTAATAAATATTATAACAATGGCAACGTAAACTTTGTTAAAAGTAAAGCTCTGAATGGTTCTGGTTCAATCTGAAAACCAAGCCAAATCTGAATCGAAAATTCAGTTTCAGTTTTAAAAAATTTAATCTGAAATTTTTGGTTCAGTTTTCAAGGATCCCGAAAAATACATATAAAAGTCAGAGATGATCGGCAAAATTTTGCCTTAAAATAAGCAAATATTTTTACTAAGATCAATATGTAAAGTTGACTTCTGACTTTATAATTTATATTAGAATAAGCAAATTTTTTTTATGATATTTGTATATTAAAAAAATGAAATCATGGCTTTTTTTTAATTTAATTAGTTGTATTTAAAATATACTTCCAGTATAATTAATTTAAAATTGCTAGCATAATGCCAAATTGCATAAATTAATTTGTACTGACGTATTTATTTATACTACTATATTTAATTATTTGATAATTCAAGTATTAACACTAAAACAAAAGATTGTTAATTATTTTTTTATAAATTATAATAAAAACTTAGAATATTGATAACATTTTAAAGTTAAAGAAAAGTCAATATAATTTATAAAATCATTTCTAAAAGAAAATCCTATTTCTAAAGAAAAAAAATATTAATACTACTTTCACATATAAAACAAAAAAAATTTTACCCTATTCTCAACTTACTAAAAATTTCAGTTTAGTTTTAATCTAAAAACCATTTCTAATAGAAAAAACAATAGAAATGTTAATAATACTTCTAAAATAAACAAAATAAAGCTAAAAAATTCTTTACTTACAGTAAGCATTGGAGTTCCAATCTGAATTCCAAGTTCCTAAGAAAAAAGTAAAAGGAATATTAGTATGGTAATATTCCCAAAAAAATTGACTATACTTTTCTCTTAACTCATATTTTTCCAAGATATTGGTATCTAAAATAATAAATTTTAGATTTAAGAAGTTGCTTTTAAAGAAAAATAATAAAAAGGAATATTAATAACATTCTAAACCAAATATTTTTTATTTAATAAAATGGCCTGTTGTTAAAAAAATATAACAGTAAAGGCCAAAAAAAAATTTTTATTGAATAAAACGGTTTGTTACAGACCAAAAAAAAATTATTTTATTTTTTTCTTTTAATAAAACAGTCTGTTAAAAGTCAAAAAATTAAAAAAAAAATTATTTATTATCAATCAGATTAGCCGTCAATTACGTATTTTCAAAAATTTATGTATTATACTATGCGTAATGCTGTTTATTAGGGAATTCCAAGGCATTATGCTGCTAATTAGTAGAAAATTGCCGGAATTCCAAGGCGTTATGCTGCTAATTAGTAGAAAATCGCTGGAATTCCAAGGCGTTATGCTGCTAATTAGTAGAAGACTGCTGGAATTATATATATATATATATTTTATTAAAAAATACCATTGACTACGCAAATTAAAATATACAACATATATAAAAATGATTGTTATTACGCAAACTATATATATAACCTTTTAAAAAATCTCAAAATCTATGCAAATGAAATTTTATGACTTTTGGAAATTTTACTAATATGGTTAAGCAAACTTACATATGACCTTTATATGTATTTTTCGGGGTCCTAGTTTTCAGTTCAGTTCAGTTTTTTTTAATAAGCCGATCCTAATCCGAACCGGGAACCAAATGGAGCTGATCATATTTTTATATAAAAAAAAAATTTTTTTTTTTTTTTTATACTTATTTATTTTTAATACTTTCGTTCCTCCCCATGCGGACTTTAAAAATAAGTTTCAGAAGGTTTCTTTTGAGCAGGGATATTTCTAATGCTTTTTTTAATAAATTTAAATATTTTTATTCTAGAAAACCGTTTAAACAGTTTTGCCTTAATCTTTGAAGTAGATTTCTTTTTGCGAAGGTTTGTTTTTGTTCTTTAGTTTTTTTTTTTTCTTTTTATTAATTTTATTTTTAATATTTTATGTTCTTTAAAGATAATTTGACGAGGGTTTTATTCTAAAAAACAGTTCACTTCTCTTCACAGATCTTTGGAATAAGTTTCAGTTCTTTTATTATTTTTCATTTTTAATATTAGAAAAAAGTTCTTCCATTCGGATTTTGAAGGTAAAATTTGGCGGTTTCTTTTAAATAGAGGTTATCCAGATCTTTTTTTTTTCATGGCTAATCTTTGTAGAGGCATACGTATTTATTCTTATTTTATTTTTAATATTTTTATTCTATTAAAAAGTTCATCTATCTCCAATATTTAAAGGAAAAATCGGAATCTGTACAAAAAAAATAATGAATTCTGAAACCTTGCAGAAAAAAAATCATAAAAGTATAAAAAAAGAACGAGTATTAAAAAAGTTTGGGAAAAAAACGCAGAATAAAAATTGAACTTTAAAGGTAAATTTGGCAGATTTCTTTGAGTGGGTTTATCTAGTTATTCTTATATTTTTAATATTTTTTATTTTAAGAAATAGCCATTCAGACTTTGATTTAGCAGGGAGTTTTTTTTTTAATTTTTTTTAATTTTTAATAATTTATTCAAGTGAAGTAGCAATTCAACGTAAGTGCACAAATTCTGCTGAATAACAACTTTGAAAAAGCTCGTCAAAAGGGCACTTTCAGAATCTGTATTAGCAAATATTTCCTAAGGTAATATAACGTTGAAGTTGGACTCTAGGTGAGACAAGAACGCGACAAGTGGCAGCTGGTCAGAGACCTAACAGATAAAGAAATGAAGGAAGCAAGGGGGAGTGAATAGGATGTCACAAAAAAACTCTAACAAGATACATTACAATTTTCATCAAAATCATTAAAATAACGAAAAACTGGAAGATCATAGTGTAATTTATCGATTTACAAAGTATGAAAACAGCAGTGAAAGCTTCAATGAAGGATGATAGTGCAGAAGGTGCAGAATTTCAAGACAATATACAGAAACGGAAAAGAAACAGAGAAAGAAAGGGAAAAGATGAAAGGGCCTGCTACGATACCATCAGCGCAAATATTTCTACACCGCAGACACCTCCTGATAGAATATACATGGAGTTAGAAAAAATGGCAGCCAGTAAATATTAAAACCGTACCCTAATAACCGAGGAGATAATAGTGGACATGATCAAGAAATGGCGAGTAGAAAATGATATGGACTCAGATTCGGCGAATGGGGAAATAGCAGCAAAGAAAGTAGATATTTCATCCAACAAACCTCTGAAACGGGATAACATTGCGCCAGAAACAGTCATTGAGGCCATAAAGGAGTATCGCGTAAACGAAAAGATAAAGTACGATCGATACGAAGAACCCGAGGATGTTTCTGATGTAATAGTATATAGGTAAAGAAAATTAAGAAAAAGTTAAAGGAGCTGCATCAGGAAATTTTATAGCGCGAAAAATTGCGTAAGTTTACGATTTTGTAAGTTTATGAAAGTTTATGGCATAATATTTCGAAAAATTTCAAAATATTACGTAAGTTTACAATTTCGTAAGATTTATGTGATATTACGGTTAAAATATTACGTAAGTTTACAATATCGTAAGATTTACGCAATATTACGGTCAAAATATTCTGCTAATTTACGAAACTGTAAACCTGCGTAATATTACGGTTGAAATATTTCGAAAATTTACGAAACTGTAAACCTGCGTAATATTACGGTTGAAATATTTCGAAAATTTACGAGACTGTAAACCTGCGTAATATTCCGTTTCGAAAATTTACGAGATTGTAAACTGCGTATGCAGTAGAACGTATACAAGGGGCATGTGATACTATTGAATAATCAAAAATAATATAAACACCTTTTCTTTTATATAAACACCTTTTTTTTTAAGTTTGGGAAAGCAAATTTATTTTTATTTACGAATTTTTTATTATTTACAATTTTTATGTTAAAAATTAAAGTAAATTCTAATTTTTATTATAACTTAATAAAAAAATATACATTTGATACTTGTTCGCTACTATTTTATAAAATAGTACCCAGGCTGTACGGCGTGGACGTCAGTATCAGTCACAGCCCAAAAAAAACGTGAGTCTCCAGCCGATATTTGGTACGGACTGGGCCTAGCTACTCACTTAATAAATAAAAAAATAAAAATAATTATCTTCTACGATACGTAGGTAAGTTTCTCCTTCTCCTACGATCGTCACGCGTATCTAAAATTGATCAAATTTATCAAATTTAAAATGTGAACGTAAAATAGAATGTAATATTAATTATAAAATTTTATTATAGTATAATTACCCGGCCTCTCCCAAAATCTCGTTCTAAATTCGCGATAATATCTTTGGCCGGTACGCGTCCACAGCCGCCGCCCAGGCCGATCAGGGGTACCATTACGATAAAGGACATAGTTCTAAATATCAAAATCAGTTTGAATATTCGGTAAATACATTTAATTTAAATGAATGTAATTTTATTTATTTACTTACATGGTAATCCCTGACGAGGTTCCTCCACTTTTGGCTGCACTGTTGCCCGGAAACCCTCGTTCGAAATATTCTATTTATTCTGATTCAATTAAATGGATTGGTTAATTTGAATTTAAATTCTTTCTTAAAGAAAATTATAGATATTAGTCATATGAACCTATTGGCAACAGAGTCCCAAAAATCATGGCGGCTTCTACCATTAATATTATGGTAGGCGCGGTTTCTGTCGCGGCGTATGTCGACAAGTTCGTCCATCATAGCCCAGTTCCAATGGACGTTATAGGAACGACGACGTGTTTGGCGAGGCATTATTAGATTTGATTTGATTTTTATAATTTGATTTTGGGATGAGTAAAAATTTGAAAGAAAGTCGTAAAATGTCACTTTAAATAAAATTTGAACAATACCTCTTTGGTTTGATTTTATTTCTCGTTTCAATTAAAATTTAATTTATTAGACTTTTCATCATTAAACATATTAATTAAATCTCATGCGGATATGGATTATCTAAATATAAATATCATGATTCTAAATATAGATATAAATCACTTAATTTATTTTAATTTTTTTTTTAAAAAAAAAAATCTTAGTTTGATTTCAATTAAAAATAATTAAAAATCATGTACATGTTTTGGTTATTTAAATATAAATATCAATATATTATATTTAAAAATAAAACAATTTATTATTAGCACATTCTATTGAATTTTTAAAAAAAAATCATCAATATATCATATTTAAAAATAAAACAATTATATTCTGATTAAATATTTTGCGTACATTTCTTAAAAAAATCATAAAAAAAATCTTGTACGTCGTACATGCAATTACTAAATATCATCCCCTTGTGATAAATAAAAAATTACGCAACACAAATTCAACACAAACTCAACACAAATTTAACAAATTTAACGAAATTTGGCCAAAATTAACAAATTTTTTACAAGAATTATCAACACAAATTGAACACAAATTTCAGTCACGATTTATTTATGTCACGCCCGTGTTGTTAATAATTAAATAAATAAATCTGCATTTTATTTATGATATGAAAAACGTGACCATAAATTTTTTTAAGGATATAATTTTATTAAAATAAATCAAAACTCCTATATCAAGTGACTAAAAAATATATTTATTTACGAAATATTCATTTTGTTTATCAAATCGGGGTACTATGTGAACGACACCATGTATAGACTCTATAGCTACAAAGTTATATAATTCTATAAATTTTAAGTGAGGACATCCATATAAATATGGGTTCCTTTTAGATTAAAAATCGTACCATTGAATTAATGCAAGATTTAGCGGTGGGTCTGTTAATACTTCTGCTAACAATAAGGCCTATAAATAATAAATATTTATTAATACTTTTATAATAAATTATTACATAAATTGGAAAAATACCTGTCCATAACAAAGTCCTTTGTCTGATATATAATCATTTGATTCTTCAGAATCCATTGAAATAGCTATGTCGCTAAACCATACTTTATTATGATACCTGTTTGTGGCACACATTATGGCACCATTTTCCAGTGTTACAGATCAGTATATGTTTATTCGGATTTCACCAATAATTGTGAAACCATCAAGTAAATCTAGATATGAATCCAGACAACTTATAAATCTAGCAAAACCAGTCTGCATTTTATTGTCTACGGAATCTTTTTTTTCATTAAAAAATGTATTTGCATAATGTAAAGAGAAATCAAAGAGTCTTGCAGAAAATTTACAAGTGAGAGGTGTTTTTGCCGGATTCACTGAATGTTGAGACATTCTAATAGATATTGCTTGACGTTTTATCTATTAATTTAATTTCCATCTTAAGTTATATAATAAATATATACAATAAATAAAATTTTCAAATACTTACAGTTCGTAAAATCTGAGGTTAGACATCTTTTTTATTGCTAATTCGGTAGGGTATTTTAACGAAATATTTGTGAAGACTTTCGTAAGTTTCTGTAGTATAGCCATTTATTACGCCATAAGATCGTATTGAGTCAATAATATGATAAACCCATGAATGCAATTTAGGTAACTTCAAATTGGAAGGAGAAACAAATTTAAAAGCCTTGACAAACATCCGAGCCCATCTATGTATTGCATTCTAAAACTTAAATGTTAATTTAATTTATTTAATTTAAATTTTCAATTTTACTAAAATTTTAATACATACATTAAATTTCTCCAAGTCACTTTCACTAAATTCTTCATATCTACTTAAAATATACATTTCATTCCAATATTCGTACAATTTCGTAAGATCATCATTATTTACAAAATTATCTACTTCATTGTTATTTTCATCATATAAATTATCAATAACAAATATAATGAATTTCATCAAACTTCGATATTCATTAGCAGTTAATCTTGCAATTGACTGCAGTCCATTGGAAAAAATTTTAATGGCGGGAAAACGTGGGATTGCTGCTAGACGGTGATCTACTTCTTCAACTAATTTATTACCATTAACATGTTGCAATTTTAAGATATCGCACGTGAAGATAATTTGATAA